ACTCTAGAGGATCCCCCGCTCGGACCGCCGCCGCCTCACCGGCCCTTCGCGCGCAGAGCGCCACAGTCTCCAGAGCCACTCATGCCCGCAATACCATCGCCTCCGCCGCCTCACCTTCCCCAACTACCTTCGTCTCCGCCGCCTCACCTTCCCCAACTACCATCGCCTCCGCCGCCTCACCTTCCCCAACTACCTTCGCCTCCGCCGCCTCACCTTCCCCAACTACCTTCGCCTCCGCCGCCTCACCTTCCCCAACTACCTTCGCCTCCGCCGCCTCACCTTCCCCAACTACCTTCGCCTCCGCCGCCTCACCTTCCCCAACTACCTTCGCCTCCGCCGCCAAAGGCCCCCGAGCCCCCGTCGCCTTCTCCACCCCTCGCACCCGGCTCGCCACCGCCGCCCCGAGGCGTTGATGTTAAAACAGGAACTGAAGGTGAGGCAACCTCGGGGCGGGAAGGAGGGGGGGAGGGGGAGGGGGAGGGGTACATCTCATATAGATTTTCATTCTCTCGTGCCTCGGCGACGACTGCGATTTACGGCCATACAGCATCGTCGCGGCACCACATATGCCGGAGCAGTGTCAATATTAAACGTATCGCATGCGTCGTACACACCACGCGACACCGTATTACAAAGGTACGACACAATGTACCGCACTTGAAGTATCGCAGCATACGCATTACGCGGTGCCACAATGTTATATTGAATTTCTCTCTTCAAAAGGCAAGGACGGCACCTCTTCGTTATCTGTGTTAATTCTGCTCTTGCTGCTACTGTTGCTGTTGCTGCTACAGCGGCTGTCGCCAATATGCGTCCTGCCAATTACTGCTACTGCCGTCTGCAGATAACCCCAACATGACTGAACCCTCGCGACCTGTACGGCGTAAGCTGCCGCCGCCAATCCTGTCGCCTGCCAGCCCACGGCCTGCCGTACCGCCACCGCTGCTGCCGCCACCACCGATCCGCCGAAAGCAGCCGCCACCACCGTCTCCCGCGCGCATGCCTCCAAGCACGCCGCCTCCTACTTCCCCATCCCCCACTTCGCCACCTCCCTACCTACCGCCCCCAAGCCCGCTGCCTCCCTCGCCACAACCCCCCAAAACGCCACCACCCAGCTCGCCTCCCCCCGTCCGACGTCCTTCCCCGCGACCGCCGACCTCCCCCAGGAAACCCACGACACCTCCGAGGCCACCACGCCCCAGATATCCGAATCCGCCTCTACCCCCTCCACAGCCTTCAAACCCCGCGCCTCCGGTTGCGAAGGCGCCCAGGGGCCCCAAAGCCGTGCGAACCAAGCCCCCCCCCGCCCCCAGTCCTCCAGAAGTTCCAGTACCGCCCGAGCTGGAGTTGTATGACTCGTCCTCCCTCAATGTGGAGATGGACTGGAGCGTGTTGCCAACTTACAAACGCGCGACGGAGTTCTTGGCGAATGTGGCTGCCAGTAGCGGCAGGCGGTGCAGGTTGTCGAGTGTCGGCAGAAAGTGGGGTGGGGTGAAGGGTGAAGGGTGAAGGGTGAAGGGTGGGGTGAAGGGTTGGGTGAAAGGCCGGGTGGGGTGGGGGGGTGGGGGTGGGGGGTGGGGTGAAGGGTGGGGTGGGGTGAGGGCAAGAGCCGGGGGACCCATATCAGGCATATCGTGTTGTGTACGCGTGCGTGGCGGCGGCGTCCGCTTGTGGGTGCTGTTAGTTGCCGCTTGTGTGGATAGAACGTTTTGGGTTTTCTTTTCTTATACACGCCATCGGAAAAGTGTGTGAAGGCGGACTGGGAGGGAGAGTGAGAAACGGAGGCATGCATGTCACGCATCTAAAACACAGAAGCTACAGCTTTGCGGCAGAGAGGAAAAGTGAACCTGTATGCGCAGATCCCATTGGTATGTGCAGGTTCTCGTGCTTATGTGTATATATAGTAAGTACATATTATGTGTAATGTATGTGTACATAATGGTACATATTGGTGGGGTGTTACACTGTGGGCAGTTCTGTGCTCCTGTCTCCTTTAACCGTATTCTCATGGCTCTGCCGACTCTGACGTGCTTGCTGACCGTGCTGGGAAATTGTAGAGACGGGAAGCGGGGAGAGCAGCTGCCAAGGGCCCTTACACTGCAGAATAACTGTCAGCTACGAGCTGAAGCTCTACTAAGTGAAAGGCAAAATGCCTGTAACGAAGGAACTGAAGCGTGATATACTCGCCACGCCATTCAAATACGGTTGTACGACAGTCGCACAGAACCAGACTTAGAGACTCCGATCGCTTCGCTCCGTCGCATCTAAGTCAACAAGTCGTCCCGGGAAAGGACCGAGAGCACCGGGGGCCCTGACCGGGCAGGGACACAGTGCAGGGGCGGGCGCCCGGCTACATATTGCACATATACTGCATATATATTGCACATATACTGCACATATACTGCACATATATTGCACATATATTGCATATATACTGCACATATACTGCACATACATTGCACATATACTGCACATATACTGCATATTACATATATTTCATAAATATTGTATACATATTGTATGGAGTTGCGCCGCTGTCGACCCGGCAGATTCCGTTGGATGCTGGTGGTGGGTGCGGAACCTGAGCGATCCACTGAGAAGTTGACTAGGGTGACTGGATGAGGGTGCCCCGAAATACCGGGGAAGGCAGGGTTTCGCAGGGTAGCTGCCACGGGCGAAGATACACCCCCCTGTTTCACACACCATATTGTGTGCAGCACCTTTCAAGAACCTCTCGTAAAAGAAAAAACATTATACTGTTGCAGAGCGTTGCATGCGGGCGTGTGCCGTATCTTTGGACTCGATTGGTACCGTATTGCGCCGTACATCCGCACCACTCCCGTGCTCCCCCCGTCTTGTAGCGTCCTTGGCAGAGACCTGTGGCTCATCACGGCTGGTAGTCCCGAGTCCGCCCTCTTCCCGGACCCCTCCAACCCGGAGGTGCCGTTCCCGAAACCGAAAGTTGCGGTAAGAATTGGTTAATAGATTTGGGTAATTGAATCACAAAAGAAAAATACGAGAAAAGAAGAATACGATTGAGAAGTCTGGGCGCAAGTACGGAGACAAGCTGTTTGGCTGTGGGTTGGCAGTAGGTGGAGTGTGTGGGGTGCGAATGGAGTGTCTTGATCTGGCGTGAGAGGGCAGGTGCAGGGGGGCATGGGCTGGGCGGTGGTGGTAGTGGTGGTAGTGGTGGTAGTGGTGGTGGTGGTGGTAGTGGTGGTAGTAGTGATAGTGGTGGTAGTGGTGGTAGTGGTGGTGGTGGGCGAACCTGCTCAGCTAAGACACAGAACTTTGACATACATGTACAGCTACCGAGGACTAGCTAACGCAGCCATTAACTACGCCACAACTAACAACGCAACTACCCCCTGTCGCATCCCGACCTTCGCGCTGCGTGTGTGCGTGTGTGTGTGTGTGCGTGTGTGTGCTCATTTCATATCTGCAGCTCATTGGCAACATGCATGGAGATGAGAAAGGAAATTTCCAGATTCTTCTGCAGTTCGTGAAGGAGATCTGCCTTGACACCGTCAACAGCCGAGTGCAGGTCCGCCATGCCCATGTTTAGGTGTTGGATTTTATCTTACGACAAAATACAGCACTGTCTGCACTTCTGCATATTGCTAATTAGATTGCGCCTTTTTGCGTGCGTATTTTGTAATATTTTATTAACATGATGATGCGTTGCATTACCCTGAAAGTGTGTTCTGCTGTCATTCCGTAACGTACTCTTACCACTTTTATGGGCTTGTGTGCACGTCTTGAGAAGTCATGGCCCGTTTTAACCCGTGCGCTATGCATCCTAGCATGCTGGTTGCCGTGTGTAATACACACACGCACACACACATGTGCTCGTGTGTTTTTGTGTGTATGGTCTGTTGGTTTAAAACTCTTACCCTTGCCGCGAGGGGACGGGTGGGTGGCGGGTGGCGGGTTGTGACGTAACAGTGGGTAAGCAAACTTTGGCCCTCAACGCGCGCTCAAAAAACGTGCTCGACATGTGTTTTCAACATGCCCCGCCCTAACTTGCTTCTGTGGACCCCTCCCTTTCTCCCCTCCTCCCGGCCCTACCCCGGTGTCGCCTGGCCGCCTGCCCAACACACGGCACCCCACTGCGGTCGCAACTGCGACGTCCTCTCATCTTAGAACCTTCTGGACACCACCGTGGTGAGTCGAGTCTGTGGAGATGCGGTCGGTGTCAAGTGGAGTCCGTCGGCTTTAGGGGCACGTTAGTGTATCTGGTTTGTGTGTATGTATGTGTGTGTGTATGTGTGTATGTGTTTTTCTGTTACACATTGATCCGGGCCTATGATACGCTGGCCAGGGGCACCCATAGCCGTACCCCAACGGGAATGAGCGACCGCCGAGCGAAGCATTCGGCGGCTCTGAGCGTTGCTGGAGCAGATGGAGGTCTGCAGCCAGATGTGCCGTACTGCCCGCATTAGGAAAGCGCTCTTAAGCAAATTGATGAATCAGAATACAAGATGTGTGCCGCAAGATGTATGCTGTACAAGAACTTGCTTTCCTGAGGGGGGATTGCTCCTACGATGGCGCAGCATTCCTGATTCCGAATCTGATTCTCATGTGTAGTTTTACTTTTAAATCTTTTTACCAAAATCTCTATAAAATTTCTAGAGAATTTTTCCTTTTAATTTTGGTTTTGGTTTTTGAACTCTGATCCTGATTTTGGCAGAGCCGTTCCAAATGCTGCACATGACGCCGCCGTGACTGACATGACTGTCGCGAGACGTTCGACGATCCCCCGTTGAGACTATTGCCCTTTAACCCATGCCTGTCGTACACTGTCGTACATTTCTCATTGCAGTTGTACATCATCCCGACTATGAACCCTGACGGATACGTTGCTGCTACTCGGAGCAATGCGAACGGCATCGACCTCAATCGCAACTGTTACTCCAGTGACTTTCCGTACGGTGAGTGTCGTAGTTGTCGTACAGTACGGCATATATACCGTCATTACAACATACGCTCTACAGGACTGCCTCTGTCAGCACCTCGAGGAAGCTGCAGGCCACCATCATGCCTGCGGTAAGTTCCCCTAACCCCAGTCACCATTTCCCCTTATGCTGCTCTGCTCCCTCCCCCCCTTCGCCTCACGTCAGCCCGTCCAATGCCGACAGAGGCCCTGAAGGGCTCGTACTACGAGGCGGCGTATTTCTTGCTCAACGGGGGGGCTTCTATGGAGCCTGAGACACGAGTACGGGGGGGGGGTGACGGGGGAGAGGGCGGCCGTGAATACGGCG